AAAATTTTTCTAAAGGCCAAGTCGTAAAGAATTTGGTCAGAAGAACTATTAAGTTGACCTCACAATCCGCAAAAATCAATAAAACTGGAGCGCACCGCACCTTTTACAGGGAACACCGGGACTGTCCACTTCTCCAACTCATTGATGAGCTCTTCATCCGCACATACCGCTTTTGCGAGCTGTGTGACTTGAGTTAGGCCGGATAACTTCGACTGATCTAGAGCATACTTATCAAAAGAATAGTAAATGAAAATATCCCTGAAAAAACCACTGCAAAATAGCACTCATTCCCGAAAGTTCTTTTCAGTCATACAGTACTTTCTCACGCTTCACATTCAGAGTTATGGAAGAAGGATCAAGCTTTCAGCGTCTATGCACTCCTTGTGGACATGCCGCGCAATTCACTACCATTCAGAATCCTGTTGACATTATCTTATTTTGTATGGAATTTGGCCCATGTAATGACCTGCGGAACCCAAAAGATGTACAAGTTGAAGTTTCATCCTCCCAGAATGCAGTTAACTCTTACAACTATACGAGATAAAATTGCCCAACTCGGGAAGGAGGGTGAAAGGCCTAGATGGTTGGGTTGGGAGAGGATCCAACAATTAAGCAGGGTAGGTATCATTGGTTACGGAAATCACCCCAGTCAGAATAGCGGCGACCATAAGCGCATACTCGACTACTTACAATGTCTTTAATGCACCAGTCAACCTTCATTCCGAATCAGGTTTTTACTTCATATTGCAGACGAGTTTCTACTGACTAGTAGAACACGGTAGGTAAAGAGATCGCACGGTTCATGCAGGATTACCTGTTTTCTTTGCCGCTTGAATAGAGCAGATTGGTCTCTACTACTGTGGAAGATATCTACAAGCCTACGATTTTAGCCCGCTCGTGTTAGCGCATGCTCCACCCACTGCAGGTGTATCCCTCTTATCTCATCCTCCAACCCCTGGCTCACTTATTATTAGGTTGTCCGGAAAGTTCTCAGCGTTTTGGGTGTTTCACTTTAAACGATCGTAACTTTTTTAATACTCATCGGAGCAGTCGAGAAATCCCATCAAAGTAAAAAACTGGGTGGTCGAAAATTCACGAAATCCACTAAGGCTTTTTGCCTGGTCCTGAACTGATGAAGTATTTTCCAGCAAGGGAGTTCTGAAAATGTTAGAAAAGGTGATAGTCGGTTGGCGAAAGGTCTGAAGAATATGGCGGTTGAGGTAGAACTTCAACCCCCAATTCGTTCAATTTATGGATAGTGATTTGTGAAACGTGTGGGCGGGCGTTGTCATGCAAAGGAATCGGACCCTTTCTTTTGATAAGTGTTGGCTGCATCTGACAAAATTTTCGGTACAATTCGTCGATTTCTTCACAGTAGGGTTCTGCTGTGATGGTTTGGCCTGGTGATAAAAAGTTATAGTGGATCACACCAGCCGATGACCACCAAGCCGTGACCAGAATCTTTTTTTCGTGAGGATTCGGCTTTGGAAATTGCCTCGGTGGTTCGTCGGCGTCCAACTACTGTCCGTAACGTCTCCTGTTATCATACATGATCCACTTTTCATCACAGGTGACAATTCGCTTCAAAAACGGGTCGTTTCTGTTGCGCAAAAGCAGTGAAGAGGAAACCCGAGACGTGCCGATTCCTGCCGGTCACTCCGATTGTGGGGCACCCAATTGTCGAGTTTTTTCACCTTCCCAATGCGTTCCAGACCATCTGCAACAGTGGATTTGCCAACGCCTAGCTTTTCTGCAATCTCTCGAACTGTTTGGGATGGGTCAGCCTCCAAAAACATCGCCACTAAAATTCGTGCAGAGTATTGCTTTAGGTCGAACCGCTATATGAGGTTCACCTTCAAGGCTGAAATCTCCAGAACGAAATTTGTTGAGCCATTGCCGCACAGTGCTTTCTCTAGCACTATTGGGCCCCCACACCTGGTTAATTTGTTGAGCTGTTTCGATTGCGGATTGCCCCAATTTATAGTCGAAAAAAATCGTCCGAAGTGCTCTTTTCACATGCTTGAAAAAATCTTGAAAAAAGGGGGTTTATCAAGAATATGAAACGGCAATTATGTCATCAGATAGCGCGCAAGAAATTCTCTATCAGGAGTGCTAACTGAGGAGGCAGGGCAGAAAATTAGTTTTTAATCAAGCAGTGACTGTACAAAATATAGTGCACAAAACGCTGAGAACTTTCCCGGGCAACCTAATAATTACGCTTCTCCTAGGATCTCTGGGCTGCTTTAGAAGCGAATTACACTTCAAAACTTTCGCTTGAGGGCACGCTACGAGAGCAGTCTAGGCAGCACCTCTGTAGGATGGATGAATTTCCTCGGAATGTTCCTTCCTAACCGATTTTCTTGCGGCCTCCCGAGCTGCTTCAGGACTAAGTTGTGAATTTTGTAGCAAGCAACGCCCAACCGCAAGTGTGTCCCCTCATCTCGTCAGAGTTACAGAGTCTGACAGTCTTTTTTAGTCGCTTCTACAACCGAAGAAAAAATTTTTTGCTTAAGACACCGCTCACTGCCGGTGAACGCCCCCTTACCATGAACGGTCTTGGCTCACACGTGCTCGCATCTTGTACCGTGCTCTACTCATCCCAACCCTGACCCGAGCTGTCCAGGTCTCTCTCTGATCCGTCTAAAACCGCGGGTTTCTGAAAAAAGCGAAACAACAACAAGTAAACAAAGAAAGACGAAGCAACTTGCCACTTCGGAAAGAACTAAGCATCGTCCACCAGCAACAGCGTCAGCCACTCATTTCGATAAAAAGAAAAATTATGACTGTAATGGGTTTGCGAAAAGGCTAACCAATGGACCAGGATTCAACGTTCCAGCTCGACAATCATGATCTTCGCAGCGCAAGTGCCAGTTAATTTTTAGTAGACAATGCGTTCTCTGCCTGTTTTCGATGAGCGACAATGAACTCCCCAAGGAGTCGTTCGGCATTTGATAGCTAAAACAGCAAAGATGGATTGGGACATGGATCACAAAAGCGCCTACATTTTGAGGCACCATCTCCCATACAAGCCATATGGTGGGGACAGTGGAGGGGGGGGGGGAGGGAACCAAAGCCTGGTACATACCTTTGTTTCTGTGGAATGATTCGATATCTTCCTGGGTTTCACAAAGACAAGCGATCATCAGCATCGGCTCGAGACCAGTTTTGTATTTCGAAAACACCTGAATACTCATGCACTGGTCCAACGAATCACTAACTTTGGGGAGCAATGCTATGACAGCGCTAGTCAGTTATATTCGGTAATTAATCGGGGCAGTTGAGGGACGGAACGATTCCTCCCAGAGTTACCCAAGTGTCTACCAGGTAGCTGTTTCGAAGAGTAATTTGCGGGGGTGTTTATAGACGGGAAAGGGGAGCATCTGCTTTCCCATAGATTTGCCAACCCATCTAGGTACCCTTTTTTCGAGTTGACACGTTTTAGGATGGTGGCTAGACGATCTTGCTCCAGCTTCACAAGCGTTCACAAGTTTTACCAGAGTGAGATTTGTAAACCGGAACCAGGGAAGCAATTATAATACAAAATGCCCCCTCCGTCGATAAACAGCGCCGACGATTTTTTCTGCTGTTTTCTTCCCAGGTGTGTCAAACAGCACCTCCCAGAGCGTCATATCCGTCATCTTTTCAATTTTCCCGAGTCTTTAATGGCTGAACCGTACACTTACTCGAGCGAAGCGATCCACGTCACACTTTTCCGGTAGTCCTAGATATTGTTGCAGCTTACATTCTTCTAGCATACACCGGATCACCTAAACTCAGTTTAATAATCAAATTCAAAGCATCAGCAACTCTTACTAAGAACTTCGAAATAAATTTGTCTTATTATATTGGACAACTAAGGCTCTCCCTCTTTATTATCACCTGGACGGCCATGTCAAATGGAATATTCATCGGTGAGCGAAATTCGCTAGCGCTCTAATACTGATGAGTATTCCTAGCCGAAATCTTACTCTAGCTTCAACCGAACTCTACGAAACTGAAGAATTTCCAAATCGTCCAATGCTCCTTAGCCCTTATCGAAACAACGTGATTTCCGGGAAGGTAGGACAGTAGCGCCACTTCTGTTCTGGACCCAAATTTCTTCACCCAACCAGCAATGCTTTCCATCTCTCTTAGAAGGCAGACGGTACACTCACCTTCGCGAAGGGTCTTCACCGACTTGAATGAGTCTGAAGCTGTGAAAGCGTGCTACCTTCCTCGCTCAAAAGTGCACGGCAGCAGGGATCAGGCGTAGTGGTACCCGGTACCCGAATGTCGTCTCCATAGTCCGTGCGCCCTATACTCCAGGCGTAGCATTTGCGACGATACGAAGGTCCCAGCGAAGCACGCAGTCAGAAGTAGGTAACAACAAGAAGTAAGAGGGCGCAAACAAGTAGCGCGTTTGGCTATGCTTAGGTATGTGGCTGACCGTACGGCAACACGGGCGGAGCATGGGTACAGGCACTCGGGTTTCGCTACACTCCATCCCCGTTCCCACGCACTTTTGACTGGAAAAGTGGCACGATACTGCAGCCGTGAACCCATTCACCCCACAAACGGCAAGAACCAGGATCCATGGAGGTGAGTGTACATTTCGTCTCTGAAGGGCATTAGACTCGTGAGCCAGAATCAATACAGCTAAAAGTCTGATTCGCCCTCAGACTGGCATCATTGTTGATGCCAAATATAGCATTCAAAAGCAATTTCGATGGA